ATTCTTCAAAGAAAATATATTATGGTTATTTCCTAAGTGTGTGTGTGTATGAGACTTATGTCCCTAAATATAAGTGTAATGGTAACAGCTACTGGCACTTCAGTTTTGCACAATTGCCAAATGCACATTTCTTGTTTGTTTGTTTATATTTTCTTTTTTTTTCCTTTTTTTTGGGGGGGTGGGGAGGGGGAGGGGATTTGGGTTGAATATATAATTTATCTTAGTCCATGTCAGAATCAGCTTATCTGTCATCCTTAACTTCTTTAACTGGAAACGTACCACCTGGTACATGAAATCCAGCAGGGTTGCTGGAGTTATAAGATACCACTTATTAAGTGCTGCTGTCATATGGTTAGTATCTAGTAAACAGGTTAAGATTATGGCCTTCACATTTGCCTTTTTTTCTGTTTTCCTTGTATTTTCAACATAACTCATGTGGGATAAGTCATCAGGCAAATACTGTTCACGATCAGAATAAAGTTCAAAACATTATGTTAAGCTTCACTTTGGCATGTGTAAAATGTAAGGGGCATGTTTGTAGAGACAAGTGTTCAAAAGATGTTATACGAAATTTTTGCAGGCTAAAAGGGGCATAAATGGTATTTTAGGATACTTATGGACCATAAGTTTTCGCATTTTTTCCAAAACTTCAAGGAAGGAACTAAAAACTTATTTTTTTCTAATTAATAGTTTGTCAGAAGCCTTTAAGTTTAGAATGCAATTGACTAAAAACATTGGAGACTTAAAGGCCTTATCTATTCTTATGTGTAGATTTTAGGTAAGAAAGTTTGCCAGTTTGAAACTGCATGGAAATGTTGCTGACACACTTAAAGCATGAGCTGTGAGAGCCCCGGCCTTTTTAATGAGGCTCAATAGTTGACTTTTATTGCTGGATGAGTTCTCTTTATGTGTGTGTGTGTGTGTGCATGCATGCTAAATGCACCAGCAACTTTAGCAAACAACTGCAGGAAACATTCATTTGCTAAAGATGAGATTTGTCACCCTAGTCTCTGTACCATGTTTGAGCTCAGTAACTAGCCCAAAGTTCTTATTATAGTTTGTACATGTAGATGTTTACCATTATAGTTAAAGGTATGCAAAGGAGTTCCTAGGAGTTCCACTACTTTCATGTAAATATAAGTATAGATTACATAAGTGCATGCATATACACAGTATGCAGTAATATATATTTGGCTACTATTATATAGACAATATTATAATTAGTTCTTTGTACTGGAGATAAACACAGTGTATAGCCCAGTGTCAGAGCTGGTCTAAACCGGAATAGCCCAAACTCATTTTACCCAGCCTCACCACTCACCTTGGGATACCTGAGAGTATCCCTGCATGATCTGGATATGTGCTGGCTTTGAAGTGACAGACTGTGAATGGTTCAAGTTATTATCCATCATTCCTGTTTCTGTATCAAAAAGTGAATTACAATTCCACTTTGTAGTATTGGGATCAGCTTTAAAATACTCTAATATCATACTGGATAGAGTTGATAGAGAGGTAGCAACCTTTCACTGACAGTGATTTTGATATTATCTGACATCATTCTTTGTACTTGTAGGAGAAACCATCTATGGGGGATAAAATTAAGCGAAAGCTGTCATTGCCAAAGATGGTGGGCCTAGAAGACGAGAACAAAGTGCGTGGTAACTGGAGTGGTCGACTTGACTTTTTCTTGTCCTGTATTGGGTATGCTGTGGGTTTGGGTAACATATGGAGGTTTCCTTATATCTGTTACAGAAATGGTGGAGGTGAGTGCATGACTTCTTTCAAGGATTTCACTCTAATCCTTTGTGTTTACATGTTAAAATAATACATAAGGCTTTTCGGTTGCTTTATGGCATATTTCAGTTTTTTAGTCTACTGGCTAAATGTTTCAAGCAGGAGAAATTATTTGCAAGCAATACTGTAGCTGCCATTATGGAATTTTTAAAAAAATTATGGCAAAAGGTAGCAGATTAATATAATTTGTCCAACCCCTGAAAAATTGAAGGATAAACAGAACAAACTATTTATGGAGTCATGTCTTGCAAACAATAGCTAATTCATAAAAGTGCTTTTTTTTCAAGTTATTTGGTTTGAAACCTAGTTGATATGCAGCAAAATATCAACAAAATGTCAACAATTTACAAATGTCAGATGGTGACGTAGTATGTTTTTGAGACAGACAGTTAAGGCAGTTTAAATATAAGATTGCATATATCAAAACTCAACTATACCGTCAGAGACCACGGACCTCCACAAATAATTTACTGATAATTAACAGTTTAACCATTAATTAATCAATAGATCATCACCAAAATTTAATCACTTTTAAGTAATCCCACAATTTTGTAACCTATGCTGAAAATTTAACCAAAACCCATCAATTACATTTTGAGTTAGGCTGGCAAGGAAAAGACAAACAAAACAAACAAAAATAACAGACAAACGGAGATCAGAAAACAATCTCCATGGCAGAGGTTATTATTATTATTATTATTATTATTATTATTATAGTTTTTAAAAATTATATTTATCAGTCGACATCTTTATCTATTTTTATGGCAAATATATTTCCTGTTTATGCAGGTGCTTTCCTTATTCCATACTGCATCTTCCTACTGCTGTGTGGAATGCCTCTTGTCTTCCTGGAGATTGCATATGGACAGTTTTGCAGCCAGAGTCCCACAGGGGTCTGGAAGCTCAGTCCAATGTTCAAAGGTATGGAAACTTACCATTGTATTCTATTAATTTAAAGACATGGTTACTTTATTTCACTTTTGTGAAATGGCATAGAAAAAAGATGTTTAATTAGTTTAAGTGAAGGTAATGATTACAGGTGTGTAAGTCTACTTTCAGAGCATTACATGTTTGAAATAGTTGGCATTGGTTCTGAAGTCTGGATTTGTTTGTATCTTTAACATTATATTATTTCAGGCATTGGCTGGGGTATGGTGATAGTGTCTGGAATTGTGTGTATCTACTACAACATCATCATCACGTGGACCCTGTACTACTTGCTGATGTCGTTCCAAGCAGTTCTTCCATGGAGTCACTGCAATAATGACTGGAATGATGAGAATTGTGCTCTGTGGCATAAACGTAGTCCTAATGCTACCAACCATACACACCAGGGACCCCTAGATCCGTTGCTAGATGGCGCTGGGGTGGTGAGGCTGATGGGAAATTTGACTGCCAATAGCAGTGCCAGCTACTGGATGCACTATGGGGTGGATGGTACTAACAGCACAAATGTCACCATACAGAGGGAGTCTCCTAGTGAACAGTACTGGCAGTTAGTATCAGAATAGGAAAAAGGCACAAATATGGACATTTCATATATATAGTCAATCAGTCTAAAATTAATTTAAATCTGACTTGGCTTTCAAACTGATTGTTTCAAGTTATTGTATTTATCATGAGTTTTAAGTTTTCTAGAGCACTCATCCAGTTAAACAGAAAATCTTAAGAGATTTTTTGATGAAGTAAGATTATTTTTATGCACAAACCAATTTGATTTTATCACTAAGTAAATATATGTATGTGTAACATTGTAAATAGGCTATATTCACAATGGAAAATGCTTTTAATTTTTGATTTTTTTTTCTCCCCTTTTTTCAAGAAACCATGTACTTGAGTTGTCAGAAGGTATAGAAAACATTGGTCCCATTCGCTGGCAGCTGTTGCTGTGCCTGATATTTGCCTGGGTTATGATCTTCTTGTGTTTGTGTAAAGGTGTAAAATCTTCAGGAAAGGTATATCAGTTCTTTAAACAACTTGTGTTTTTAGCATAAGTTTCATTTTTAACCTTTAACATCTTCACCATTCAAATTATCCAAAGGCAGTTTGAGATGTACTGTAAAAGTTAATTTGTGCAGCAATTTTTGGCTTTGGTGTCGTTCTAAACCTTTCCTAGAGCAAATACATGTTTGTTGACAACTAGGTAGATACATGGTAAACAAGATGATATGATTGGAGATAGACTCATATAAAACTTATGTTTACCTTTCTCTTTTAGGTTGTTTATGTTACAGCCACGTTTCCTTACTTGGTATTGATTATATTACTGGTGCGCGGAGTCACACTTCCAGGCTCTATGGAGGGGATAAAGTATTATCTTATTCCTAAATGGGAGAAACTGCTGAGCTTTAAGGTACATGTATGAAGAAAATATCTGTTCTCACTTACAACTCATAAGAAAAAGCTAATTACACTGTAGTTTTGGAATAGTGGCTGTCCTCAAACAGAAAAGGCACCTTATTTTTGTACAATTTGTGGAAAAACATCCATAAAATGAAATATTAGGTAGAAGTGAGATTAACTCTGATAACCAAAATATATGAATTTTTCAAATGATATTTAATCATATATTTATTGCACTTAGGTGTGGGCCGAGGCAGCGGGACAGATCTTCTACTCTGTTGGTGCTGCTTGGGGTGCCATGATCACATTTGCCAGCTACAACCGCTTCCAGAATAACTGCCTAAGGTGAGTTAGCTTTTAATGTAGCTAAGAATAATCTTCAAATTTCATATCTATTGCTTTAAGTATAAGAATAAAACTTTTAGACTAACTTTAATTTGCTAATAGTTTTAAGTTTAACTGTTTGACAGTAACCCATCATTGATCATTTGATATGAAATTTTGGGATGCTTCCAACTCCTATAAGGAGAGTAATGCTATTGAAAGATAAGTAATCTGAAGGGAAGTAAGTAGCATTTTGTTTTCATTCATTGCTCACCATTGATATTCAAGCACATTGGCAATTTTCTTTTCAATTTTGCATGTCCTGCACTCTACGCTTCTGGTCACCTTCTTTTACAATGGGATGGGGGCTCTTTAGATATTTCTAGGCAGTGTTATTACAAAATTATGGGTATTTCATTTAAAACTCTTAAAAAAATAAGGCAAATGACCTTAGTCTTGTCACTGCAATTATATGGGGATTTCTGCCTATTCAGCAATTAAACCAAGTATGGCAGCCAGATGCTTACACTTAACAACCAAAATTTTTTGTTTGTTGACCAACTTGTCAAAGACTGATAGTAAAACCACATTTTCAGTGGTCTGTTTTTATTTTTTTGCCAGCCTTACCATGACTTTTTTACATGTTGTTTGATTATATTTTGTTTTTGATGTTGACGTTCAACCGACCTAAAGAGAAGATCAACCACAAGCTGGCTCAATGCAGATGTGTCAGCAGAAAGCCTTGCTTGTAATCCAGTTACGTATTATTAATATCGGTGTGATTGTCTTTCTTTTTCACAGGGATGCAATAATAGTTCCATTGCTGAATGAAGGAACCAGTATATTTGCTGGCTTTGTCATCTTTTCAATCATTGGCTTCATGGCACAAGAAACTGGAAGGACTGTTGATGCTGTCATCACTCAAGGTTCAAGAAAATTTCTGGATATACTGATGACCTTGTCCTAGAGTGGCCTTGACATGACCTTGACCTTTCGAAACATGTATTTTTAAGAACTAAAATAAACTAGTAAACAGGAAAATTAGACTTTAACTAAAACTTGTTATGGGTATAGGTTTATAGACAAGTTTCAATAAACTATCCAATGCAATGCACTATACATGTAGATGACATGCCTTGTTGGCCCATCTTTATATTAATATTGTTTTTGACTGAGAAAGATTGACCTACTTGGGATGTTATCTCAGCTTGCTTTCGAAATTATGTCAATCCACATGCTGGACTCTGATTAATACAGTTTTCAGTAACACATCAATCACTTTAAATCAATAAGTGACAACACTTTTTGATAAGATACATACTGATGAAAGCAAAAGATTTAGACATGGCTGTCAAAACTGCAAAATGATGTGGCTATTAGTAAATATTTTTAAAATGCAGAGAAACATAGTGAATTTTATGATATCTTATTGAGATACACAAGGTCAAGGTCATTTCCAAGAAAGGCAGGAAAACATGAGTATACCCTTTTTTACGTTCATTTTTGCTTAAGTCCATGCAGAAACTGTATGCATCATTCTCTTAGTACTTGTTAATTGCAAAAAAAAATTGATTCAAGCTTCAGTACCCAAATATGATGCTTTTGATTTGAACCTTTCAGCAACAAGAGCAGCAATAGTTTTTTTAAGTAGATATGTGTTAATCTCCATGATATTTACTTTCAGGTATTGTTGCTTTAACTAGTAAGATTGAAAGTGTGATTCTTAAGCTACTGTAATGGTCTCACTGGTATTGTGGCTATGAAGCTTGCGCTTGAAATAATCATCATAAAGCCATATATTACCCCAGTACAGTATATTATCATTCATTAGCAGTGCAGTATACTTTTCCAAGCAATAGCCAATTTAGAGTCATCGGCATCTCCTGTTTCATGATTCCTCTACTCGAGATTTTTTTTTTTTTTAATTTATGTTTTTTATTTTTGGTTGGTTTTGTTTTTGATGTTGCAAAAATGTGTAAGTTGCTTTCCTAATTACAGCCAGTTTTCTTGTCCTTTTTTTCTGTGTTAATAGAATTGCAGTCATTCAGCTTCCACCAGGTTCAGAACACATGGCCGACTGGCTTGGAGATGATAAACTCAACATCAGTCTTTAATGCCCTTTACACTTTAAATCTATCTTCTGCCTGGATTAACTTTTGTATTTCAGAAAAAGATCCGCTTCTCTTATTGGCATCTTTTCTCTGTCCAGCTTCCTATTGATCGGAGGACACTTCTTATAAGACTTTTAAAGAGTTTTTTATGTATAAATTCACTTCAGTGGAGATGTTGCTTATTGTAGATCATTTATTTATTTAATTATTTTATTAATTTATTTTATGTTAAGCAGTAATACTCAGATATAATAAATACATGCTGCCATGGCATTTACAGTTAAACAAATTTGATGAGAATTTTCAGTAGGGCATCTACATTTTATTTAGGCTCAATATTTTTAGTTAATAGAAACTGCAAAAAAAAAAAAAAAAAAGGCAAAAGAAAAATAGAATAAAGATCAGGGCAACCTGATGAGCTGTTGTTACAATAAGAATGCTCAGAATGTGCTTTCCCTGCAGTCCCATACCCTGATCATCCCTCATCCCTGTGTGGTGAAGTGATTGTATCTTAACACAAATATCAACTGCAAATAAAAAAATAAGATAATAACTGTCTGGCTGAAAAACTGTGCACTTCTTTCACAAAGGATGTGCACTTTCTTTTCATGTTAAGCCTCTGAGAGGTTTTTCAATTAATTAAATATATTTAAAGCCAGCAGCAAAAACCTTTTTGTTAGCTTGTGGTCCTCACCATCACTGTGCCACTTTAGATGTTGAGTTGTCAGACACGTGTGATAAGTGGCAACAGATACCCACGCCTACTAGTCCAATTAGCAAGATTAAACGCAAAGACAAATTAGATCCAAACGTGTAGTTGGATCCTAGGGGCAAATCATTTTTCACTTTCATTGTTATGTTACTTAGTACCAAATTGCAAGTTCCAGTTTTAAATCACTTATCTACCAAAAATTACTGCAACATTTCAGTAATTGGTAAAAAAAAGATTATGAATAAAATGATTGCCTCAAGGTTCACAAAAGGTGAGATTAATAGAGTTTCTTAAATATCCCATGCTTTGTCAGTCAAAGTGCCCATGTTCTTGGTGCTTTCCTTTCAGGTCCAGGATTGGCATTTGTGGTGTACCCAGGGGCCTTGGCCAAGCTGCCTATCTCTCCCATGTGGGCAGTGCTGTTCTTCCTGATGTTACTGACTGTAGGGGTGGATAGCCAGGTCTGTTCTTCTGGGTTATTATTTTGAAAATGTTTCAGATCTTTCAAAGTGTTAACAATAAGATTTAAAAGTGCTCAAACTTAAGTTATTAGAATTTGCTTGATAATCAAAACCAATGCTTTTTTTAATGAAATTTCAAAAAAGTTAAATTTATTAAAGATTTTCTCTAAATAATCTAATATTTTATTCAAAATATCTTATCTTGGATCCCTTTGACAAGGGAAGATATAGTTTGAAGCTGCCCTTTAGATATTATTCTGTCCTGTTGTATATACTTCGTTGGTTTATTTAGTACACATAATTGATTATGTCAGACATGTGCTCTCTTAGTGCACTGCATCATAACAAATCTGTTTTTTCAGTTTGGTATGTTTGAGACTATGACATCTGCCTTTGTGGATGAGTACCCGCATTTCCTGAGGAAGAGGAAGACCCTGTTTATTGCTGCCACTTGTTTTGTACAGTTCCTTCTTGGAATTGTTATTGTCACCAAGGTAAAGACAACATAATACAGATTGAATGTAATAGACAATAGCCATTTGAGAAGAATTTAGTGTCTGGCTATTCCTTAGAGGGGCATTGATGTTTTAATTGGATTGTAGTGAATAATTATTATAATACCTTAAAAGTGATGCATCTGTTCATCTTTTATTTTTCATTCAGGGTGGGATCTATATCCTCCAGATCATGGACTGGTACAGCTCCACATATTCACTTATGGTCTTCTCCTTTATGGAGTGTATTGTGGTGGCCTATGTGTATGGTAAGAAGTAGTTGTCATTTATTTTCTCTCTTTTTGATGACTTTTGAAATGTTTCTCACTGCTGTGACTGTGCTGTTAAATGTATGCTCAACAACATTTGTTTCTGTTGCAAGCAATGTATGGAAATCTTGGTCATTTTATTTCATAAGAAATGTAAAATGTTAAGTATTCTGAAAATATTACTTTTATTTAGAATATGTATTATTTGGTAAAAATGGACTCAACTTCATATGTAAAAAATACATTTTTATATATGAATATAATTTTGCAGGAGTCGACCGCTTTTATGAGGACATAGAGCTGATGATTGGGCGTAAGCCTCCAATACTGTACAAATATTCCTGGCTGTTTGTGACCCCAGCAGTGATACTTGTGAGTAATTTCTTAACTCAAATATATAATGCTGTGCCACAGGAGTAAAATTGTAATTTAATTGTTATAATTGGGTAATGACAGAAATGGTTGACATTTGCTCATACTGTGGCTGATAAGATATGTATTAATTAACCCCTAAATTGTTTGACAGTGTATAGGTAATTCAGAACAGGTTTTCAACATTTTTTTCTCCTATGAAATAGGTAGATCTATCACAGATATGAAAAATTATGTCATTTTTCATTTGTGCTAGGTTTCTGAGTTGCTGTTAGTACTCTGAAACAAGAATTAATTTTCCATGATTTTTTCCAAGAAATAAATAAAACCCTTTTATGTCACTTTGTATTTCCCACCAGTTCATCTTTGTCGCCACCTTCTTTCAACATGAGTCGGTAACATATGGGGATTACCATTATCCAGCATGGGCTATTGTTCTTGGGTGGCTCCTAGCCCTCTGCTCTATACTGCCTATACCTGGAATAATGATTCTGAAGATTGTGAGGGAAAAAGGGCCAATCTTGCAGGTAAGTTATACAGTAGGTTTCCTAGTGTTAATTATTTATAAGATCTCATGAAAACTGTACTCTTGAAAAGCATCAGTCACTATGACTGTATTCCCAGAGCTTTTAGATCGATCTATCCCCGCGGGGAGTCTCACTAGATTACTGTCAGATAATCCGGCTTAAATGTCCGTCCTGCCTACTACAAGCTGTAAGGGAGTAATTAACTTTCGTGTCCGCCCAGCTGACAGCTATTTAGCTCGAACCCCCAGGGAGTTAGGTCGATCTAAAGTAGATTGATCTAATCTCTGGAAATGGGGTCTATCAGTATACTATAGTTAGAAATCTTTGTACTTTTCACAGTTACACACACACACACACACACACACACACACACACACACACACACAGACATGCGCACGCACACACACACACACACACACACACATCAGTTTATTTATTTATTTATTGAATAGTAAATTGTATTCAAGTTTAATTCAGCTTTGATTTAGGAGGCAAGATTTTCAGTTTTTAATAAATATTTTTTTGGATATATATTCAAGGACTAGTTGATGGCTTTCATCATATTTCTGTCCTTTGTCTTGTTTTTAGAGAATCAAGAAGCTCTGTCGCCCGGCAGTGGACTGGGGTCCAGTGCCAACCAAGTTCCGTGAGCAGTACTATGAATCCCTCAGCCCAGCCCGCCGACAGTGGTTACGAGAGTTTCACCCAGAAATGAAATTTACAGTGAATCAGTTAGAGGATGAAGGCATTATGATGAAACCGCTGAAACCAAATGATTCCCTGCATGATAAGCCAGCTTCAGTTCCCCATGAAGAGAAAGCTTTGATTCAAGGACAGCAAGAGTGTAACAATGTATAACATGAAATGAGAAGAAAAGAAAAACTTTTGTATCTTTACTAGTGGGGTGAGCAAACTTTACACTAACAAAATTGTTGGAAGAGGCCTTTATATATATATATAGTACAGTAGTAAAGTTGACTGAAAGAGAAAAATCATGATAGAAAAACTCTTATAAAAGGACTGGAAAAAAGGATTGGAAGGGCAAAAATGATAAGAAATGTCAGCCATTTTTCATTGTCATTTTGGCTGCAGTGGCAGTTGTTATTATCATTATTATTACCCATGCTTAGTCATGCTTCACATTAAAGACAACATTACCTCATTTTTCCTTTTTATACACACAACTTTTGCTCATTTTACATTAGATATTGTCTGAAATGCTCCACTTGTATATTTTTGATCACTTTTGTTAGTAATTTCCCAAAATGTCGGATGTCAGTGTCCATTTTTCAAAACACAATCCAAATATGTTTCAAGGTCACTTTTTGTATTGCATTTGAGTAATATTAATGTTTTCTAAGTTTTGCCTTCTGCAAGTATTTCAAGACTAACTTATGTAAGTCATATAATGCTCATCTTCTGTCTGCTGTCAGCAATCATTTCCAGTTATAAACATTAACAGAAAGTGTTTAATGAGTAGACCATCCAACAAAATGTGATGTGAATTGGACTCCTTGCATTTTCATCAATATGGGCTATCCATGGCAATCATATCATTACTATTACATTATTTTTCAACTATGATCTCACTGTCTGACATTTGTCATTTATGACGGTACTGATGTAAAATGTACAGATATGGTACATATTTGATAAGTGGCTGGGGTGTCACAAAACACAAGAATTGAGAAGTGCTGCTGTTACATGATGTTTCACTATAAAAAGGTGTTTTAATACATGTGCAGAAATTATTAAATTATAGTTTGACATATTGATTTTAAGCTCATCAAAAGATGTATACCTCAGATGAATTGGATGTATGTTATAGTTATCAATTATTCTTCAACATTAACAATACAATTATGAAAACAATTATTTTAGAATTTGAGGTGTATTTAAAAATTTTTTGATATTAGTAACGGTAATGTGGGGATTTGTGTTATTTGCTCACGGTTTGTCTGAAAGGAAAAATATTTGTTGATTGACAAATTTTAACCAAGTTAATGAATTTTTTTTATACTTGACTGACAAGATAATTTTATACTTCCACTGTTGATAGTCATGACCAAGTAAAGAATATATATTTATTTACTTATTTTTATTTATTTATTTTTAAATATCTGGACCTATTTCAAATTGTAATTTTTTTATTAAGAAGTTTTAAAGTTGGAGTTTGGTTACCAATGATATTAAGAAAAGAGGTAGCTTTGGTTGAAGTATGAGTCTACCAATATTCCTACTCTACTGGGCACTATATACATGAAGATCCAGTGTGGCCATCTTGTAACTTTCTTCAAAGTTTAATAAGGCTATTGTTTTGATGTGATGATGACCAGATAGCCCCAAAGTATTGAATATGTATCTAGATCCCCTGGTAGTATTGGTAGACAGAAAGTATACTTTCTTCATCTTAATTCTTTGTACAGCTGGTGATATTCATCAATGATAAATCATATTGATTTGCTATTGGGACAGTATAATGGTTTTATTGTATTAGTTTGTGTTCTGATATGTTTTAGTCTATTTGCATGTAGTATCTTTGACAAGCTTGAGTTAAAATGTGTAGATAATGTATGCCTTAAAACCTGCACGTAGTTATCCTTTTCTAAGCAGGTTTATTTTATGTGGTGGTTTGCTTTGTTTTTTAGATATAATTTGATGTTTAATTGTACTGCAAAGACAATTGGTAACTAATAAGTGACAACTTATAGCATGAAAAATTGATTTGTTTCAAGATCATTAATTGCTCAATTTCATTAAATGTATATTCCTAAGAACATTTTCTGAAACATGAAACCAGTTCAGCCTACTCGAATTTTGTTTACATAAGCAGTGATTTATCTTATGTAGCAAATCATGAGTCCATAAAATTTGATATTAGTGAAATAAATTTTGTAGATAAAATTCAAGTGTCGTGATTGCAATCAATCCTTTCGCAGATCCTCCTCATTTTATTTTTATGTGTTGTTCTAAATATAGGGGTTACAATGCTCGATAGAGAATAAGAGTGAATCACAGAACTGATGTCCTTGAGTGCTGACTTGAGTTCTAAGGAAACCATTCAGTTATCTACGTGCGGTCCATGCGACATCAAATCTAGATAAAGTATAGAGTACCTACATGTAGATCGAGACTTAGGTCCCCAAATTAAAACATTTGCAAAACGTACAACGTCATGTGAACTTATTGGACACTCGCACACATACAGAATAGGTTCCACGTATTCAGAGGTTTGGTCAGTTCCCACTGAAAATCCTTGTATAATAAGTTAATTCAGTCACTCATCAAATGCTTGGCTTTGATCAATTTTCAAATGCTATCGTACCAATTGATAATATATCCTATTTCCTGAGTGGATGACATTTCCGAAATTGTCTCTGAATCACTTGACGCTGTAAATTACTGAAATGTTAAATTTCAGAAATATTCAGATATATTGTTAAAATAACACCAAAATGTGGACAACGATTGACAAAAAGAGTGTTCTGGTCATGATTACGTAAAATTATTAATATCAGTGTCCTGTTTTGCGTATTTCACAACATACATAAACATAAATGAAAAGCACGGTACGTCCTCATTAAAATGACAAAATGTCTTCCCAATCTTTGCCATTGACTTTGATCCCTTCTGGTATCTTCTACTTGAAAAGATACGGCATCGGTTTCCCCATACAACACCCATAGCCGAGGTCGTACTGATTGTCGGGCAGTGGCGGAAATTTTTCTCCACAGCTCAATTTGGCCACATCTCCTCGGCACCACATGGTTCCAGACCAGTAACATTGGCCTCCCGCGGTGTGACAAGGGGATGTTCCTGTAAATATAGCGTGCTACCTTGATAGATCAGATTGACTCTATTCAAGTACACTAAATATATAATATGGGAACAAATAAAAACTATTCAGCATTGCATACACATATACCGGTACATTGTTAAGACCACTGAACCCCAATATATACATATCATTGTTATCATTTTCAGGTCGAATGTGTTTTACTGAATTATTTGGGTATCTCGAGTCCCTGGTCACCCCGTTTCAAGAATTTAAAAATTAGTTACCTTTCTCTCTCTCTCTCTCTCTCTCTCTCTCTCTCTCTTTCAAACACAAACACACACATACACATACACACACAGTAGACTTACCGAACGGATACACTACGGCCACCAGAACCAGTAAAGTTACTATTAATAAAACCTTTCCTTGATTCATAGCTGTTCCTGGAGTAGAGCTATCAAACGAAATATCATAAACTATATAACACTAAACGGGAAGACTCTCAATTAATGTATGTATCGTGCGGCATCCACGAACGCAACTGGACTAAAACGGGTTCGCCTTGGTTATGAAGAGTCCTAGGCCGTACAAGGAAATAAAATGGCTAATAAACAAATGCAGTTGAATTATACGACCGTGTAATTCGAGCGGAAGCGATGCTAGACAGTTATTGCTCCTAAACACGCTAAACGGATGTTGAGCCAAGCCAAATAGAGAAACATCCATTACTGGTAGGCACGCCGAACACATTTTGTTCACGTATTTGTTTATTTTTTGTACAAACAATCATAAGGATAGCGTGAGAAGGACAGTAAATGTAAACAATGTCAGCATTCTGTTGCATGAAGAAGATGGTTATGTCAATATTTACCGCTCGTGGCACAACACGGCTTTTTTTAACTGACATTTCACGTGATATCAGATTTCAAAACTAAAAAATGTTTCGATGACAAAATATAGAAATGAATTTTTCGCCTGCTTGAGTATAACCCCCTCTTCGTTCATATTTTTTAAAACAATACATACTCGGGGTGAAAGTATTTATTTATTTATTTATTTATTTATTTATTTATTTATTGTTACACATAGAAGTTATCCTTTATCTTGATCTTTCAACCACACCAATATGCAAAAATTAAGTCTATCAAATTGTTTAGGGCGAGGTTACAATACCCAAGGTTGTCTGACATACATGTACATCAATATGTACCCTTTCACTAACATCAAGACGCATTGGGTTCTCACATTTACAGAAGGGTTTCTTTATGTAAGATAGTTAATTCTAGGGGCTCTAATCTGACTCAGGAAAGTTTTGGTATCAGTTCGTTATTATGTCCAAGGTTCGAGTTATTCCCAGAGAGAAAAGTTACGGAATACTGCAGTATTATATGCCATTGCATATTGCATTAATTTCTTTTCGAAATCCGTATTAAGTCCATCCTTCGACAGAAAATAAACTGTAAACAATGAATGTGCAGCCTGAGCACCGATCTTTGTCTTAAGATTTCATTAATCATATAACACAAACGTTCTCCAAATATACTATAACTGGAGGAGTTCGCTGAGATGAAGCTGTCCGTTGGCTCCCAAGTATCGCGTAAACTCATAAAATGCTCTCTCTTCTTTAGTCCTGAGGATGTCAAGGAAGATAACATTCCTCTCTCTTTGTGAATCGCGACTCTTCACCGTCAGCACCTCTCGTTCAGAGAATATGCCCTCTTGCTGGAACCGTAGCAGGACGTCCCGCAAGCACGGCTCTGTGATATCGTCAACCAGCGCCTTCTGGTGGGCGCGGAGTGCTGCCTTATTGTACTCGGCCATGGGAGCAAATTCTGAAAGTAAACATGTACAAACAATAATTAAAATAGCGTCTAGTTGGGGCAAGATCTTTTTCGTAGACATAAGATTACTGTTACCCCTCTGGCGATTTTATTCGGTGTAAATGCACAAAAAAATGCACAAAATAGATTGTCATTGGCATTGAAAATTGTCATTTTTCACATTACAAAAAACTGATATTGCAATAAAATCACCAAGGGGCTAAGAACTTATCATCCAATTCTTATTTATGCAAACAAAAGAAACAACTAGTTCATTACCTGCCATGGCCGGTATCACCATGCTGGCGGGTATACACCTGTCAGGCACGGCATTGTCACACGGCACCGTAGAGTAGAAACCACGAGTTTCATTTGAGGGCCGTTCAAGGTCCAATATCTCGCCAGGGAAGACGGAAGGGTTTGGCAAGCATAGGCGCTCACAGTGGGGGCAGATTAGGTGCTTGGTGAAATGCAGTCCTGGCCAATCTCGAGTTTGGATTTTCAGCAAGTCGTTATGTGCATTTAACAGATGTTCCCACAACTGTGGTATTTTCTTTCCCCGAACGGAGATGGTGATAGTGCATTCTCTGCCACGCTGCTGGCGGAGAACCAGAATGCTGTTGGCTCCCAACTCTGCATACAAGCCATCTTTCCAATCTACCCTCCGCAACTTGAACAGCCCTAAGTGCCTATGTAGTCTGACTGAGAATTTTTCGTATACACCGCAAGGGCATCCATGATGGAACTGAAATCTCAGGCTTAATTGGTGCTTTTCATGGGAAATCTCGTGCGGCCATTTTGTTGAAAGATGCTCTGGTTTCCCTTCCGTCAACAAACAAGGGAAATGGTAGGCACTGTCTTTGCTCATAATGGATTTGCATGGTACCTCATAACACAGCTCCAATGATTTCAGCAATTCTGTCATTGTGTCAATGTCAAAATGGTTAAGGTTGAATGTCTTCCACAAATTCTTCAACAGATTTCTGGAGACGATTCCTCTTAAAGTGTAGTCGTCCATCTCCATCTGTGTAATTAAACCTTCCTGAAGAAAAAAGTTAACTCGAGCGTAATTATTGTGGTCCAGTACAACCCGTAGTAAGTCGGCAAGTAGTCGCTGTCTATGAAAAATGGTATTTTTCAAGGCAGGGTGCTTTTCGAACCAAATGATTTCTCCGCTGGAAGCAAGAAAGCACATAACATTATTAAATTCACTGCTCGCATTGGTAGGCGCCAAGTCTATGGTTACATCGTTCAACTTCATGAATTTCTGTCTAAGATAATCGTAGTCGATTGTGAGCAAGTTCCCTGAATCTTTTAGTATAGTGCTAGCTAAATCTAACCAGCGTTTTGGCAGTTCCACTTTCTTTGCCTCTGCTAATTTTATAAGATATATTTCTAGATCGCCAAACCCAAGCAATGTTTGTGAACTGACCATGAAAATTGGATGAGTTTTATTTTTAGTGCATTCACGTAGAGACTTCAGATTTTCATACTTGTCTCGATAAGCCTCCAGGAAAGGGAGATCGCAACGTCTGTTTCTACTAATCTGTTCCTCCAAATGTTCGATTTGTTGGTCCAGCAACATTTGCTTTTTCTCAGCTTGAGCCTGCATTCTTCGTTGTATACTGCAACGGATTTCATCAACTTTCACTTCATCGCACCTGTCAACATGTGTACCCAAAACCACCAAGTCTATACCAGGATATCTAGACTGAATCATGTCAATCCAGTTGCCAATGTTGTTCGTAAAATCCCCTTCCGATAATGGATCATACTGAAGGGAGTTAAACACGATACATACAACACCAGCCTCTGAGATGAACAGCGGGTGCCCCACTCTGTACGATTGGTGGCCGCCAAAATCGTTGATGTTAAATCGTATGTGGTCCTCTGGGTTCCATGTGCCTTGCTCAACAACCGATGTTCTATCTACGGAAGAGGTTAAGGATGGCGTCCCAGATTGCAATGTTCTTGACAAACTGGTCTTGCCTCGCGCCACCTCGCCCAAGAAATTTAGCTGCAGGGTACATGCCTTAGTTGCTCTGGTTTCCAGCAGTGCGAACAAATACTGGAGAATTGCGTCAGTTCCATGCTGGCAAATTGTGGCAGGTGGTCTTACCATGCTGTCTTCCTCTAACAGTAACGACTTTAATTGCGTTAGTTGTGACATAGAAGACGGCAACTTTGTTACACCAGTCCATCTAATGTCAAATATCAACATATTGGTCAGTCTTGAAATATCATTTGGAATAACCTCTATTCTGTTACCAGAAATGTTCAAGGACTCAATTGATTGAAGAAAACAAACAGGCGTTGGGAATTCAAGGAAACTGTTCCTCGAAATATCAAGTGTTTATAACTTTGACAGATTGGTCGTGGCTTCTGGTAGCGAAGATAATATGTTTCGCCACAGGTATAAAACTTCGAGATTCGGAATATTGCACACTTCCTCAGGAAATATCGCGAACTGATTGTCACTTAAACATAAACGTTTCAGTTTAGTCAGTTTTGACACATCTGGGGGAATGTTGTGTAAGTGGTTGCCGCTAAGATATATTGTTTCTAAATTCTCGTTATTGCATATAGAAAGAGGGAATTCATACAGGCTGTTGGCACAAATGTCTAAAACTGTGAGATTTTTGGCGTAACACAGAGAGATCGGTAGCGACGTCAAGTTGTTGCCTTGCAAGTAAAGTTCTTTTAGATTCTTACACCACCCAATCGTTGCTGGAAGTGCATTGAGTTCGGCAAAACTTGCACGCAACTCGGTCCAGCCTGCCAGGTCCTCCAGCCGCAACCGTTGTGGATCTTCTTCAAAACTGAGCTTATCATAGGATGGATCTAATATTCTTAGGTAATGCAACTTCTTATCTCTGTCAAAGAATACCATGATTTCAGCTTTTATGGTATTACTCAAAAATCATCAGCTGTGTCAGATATTGTCACCACGTCTTAGTTTTTAAACGGCTTATTTCTTTTTTAATTAGGTATTTTCTTAAAAATTCTGTTAGTGTTTTCCTCCACATATTTGTTGAAGGGCCTGAAAGAACAGAACGACTGTTGTTAAAAACTATAAAGTTTAAACAATTTGAAACAAGCCGTTGCTTGAATTACTGGGATTAAATTTCTCTAAAATATTTTGATATAAAANCAAGAACCAAAATATATATCAATAAAATGTGTTTTGTTTTAATTAAGAATAAATAAATAATGGTATAAAGAAGGTTTTTAATGAATGAAAACGAATAATAAATTTTCTTTTTAAAAGAAAGTAACAAATTCAGTTTTAAACCATTGAGTTTGTTTCAACAATGGTCTCTAGCTAGGGAGGGGTAGAAAATCCCCTTGGGGCCACATATAACACTATAAATACAAAGGGAATCCCCTTACAATGAATTAAGGCAAAATAAATGTTTTTCTACGGAAAGTCCAATGGATTTGCTTTTTAATACTTAAAATCAACAGAATATTTCTGATATAAATTTTCAAAAAGACACCAGAGAGAAAATTTAAAAAAATCAATCAGACGGTAATAGACACCGGCAAGCTTTGTCAATTTCACCAACTTGTTTATTTCAAACAGCGTTGCGGGCAAAGGTTTGTGGGTAATATGAGGGTCCAACTTGCCCCGAGTCAAGGGGGCCCACTAGCCCCGGGTGCACATTATTTATTTTAAAGGATGGTAGCGATTTATGGTGCTAGAATGAGCAACGATGATACATCATTGTGAAACTTGAAACAATGAACTTCAGTTTGATGCCCTATACATATCTTATATTCGATCAAAAGCCTATGAAAATAGATTTTGAAATCTCTTGAACAAAATTACTTTTAGGTGCAAAAATCGTTTATTTCGACTCACCGCTTAAGTAAAACTTTTTAACGTCTGACACTTCCTTAGCATTGTAGGCTACGGTCACTTAGCAAGAGTATGTGGCCAATTTTTTTTTTACCTCGTAGTTACTTTTTCATAAATTGACTGGGGGGCAACTTACCCCGGGGTCCAACTAGCCCCGGTCTCCCCTACTTAGACCAAAACAAAACAATTAAGTTTTTGGAGGCACTCTAGATCTTACTTGAGTTAGAAAATGTCCAAACATGACTTAATCATGAAAATTGGAACAAAAAAATATTTGTGCAAAAATTAATTCGGTCAAGCTGTGGGATATGAACAAAGCACCCTCACCATTTCCCAGAATTAATGACAATCACGCTCTCAAGTACTTAACTTAAATACACCCTGTTACTTACTAATTTGACCTCTTCATCCCATGACGCAACACTCCCCTGATATAACGCTATTTAAAAAGAGAGTAAGGATGGAAGGTAGAAAGGAGAGAGGGAAGGAAGGAGGGAAGCGGCTGAGGGAAGGACCCCAGCGTAGAGTGAGCGTGTGTGCGTGCATGTGTGTGTGTGTGTGTGTGTGAGAGAGAGAGAGAGAGAGAGAGAGAGAGAGAGAGAGAGATACTGCATGTAACGTACCGTACAAATATCCCGGAAGTCCCTTCTCTGATATTAATAATGCAGCTCACGTATCAAAATACAGGGTGTGTACATGTAGTCTTGCAAATATTTGCAGTGAACAATACACTCGCTTGAAAATTAGACGGCTGGTTAGAGACCCACTTCATCTAAGTATACAGTAAGAATATCTGTACCCACTACCGCAGTCTCGGGTTAGAGAGAAATTCTAGTCACTTTTGACCTCGCAAGTGGAATATTATTCGAGAATCAACATTTGCGACCTAGTTTTGGTGATAACACTGTGTGACACACACGACATCGAGTCGACGACATGACCTAGTGAGTAGACTACCAAGTATTGCAGTTGAGAAATCCTGTCACATCTACTGCAATTGCCGTTCTGTGAACACCAAAACTTTTACTTGGCTTCTCCGCCCACCTGCAGTAATCTCACACTTCTTTTGGGCTATTGAAAATAATGTGCCAATTAGAGTTTTCCACGAAACGTGTTATCATCGTACACTCTACCAGGGTGGCAGATATTATAAGTAAAATTTCCAAAAGCCAAAAGACAGGAAACCAAATGACCGTCTATTTATCTAAAGGCATATCTGTGAATGTCTTGTGAAAAAAATCAATCTGTCGCCCTGGTAGAGGGTACAATCATCTACAATTGGTCAAAGTGTTTCTAAAGAAGTGAGCAGTATCCAAGTTGATTTTTAAACAGATGTTTTTCAATGGCTGCAAATAGAGTTTTCAAAAATCAAAAGTGCACTTATGACTTGAAATCTTCAACCCGGTTTGCTTTGATACCACGCCATGTGGTCCACGTGAGCCACTTTTGAATTCTGTGTTAAAATCACGTTTATGATACACGAATACTAAATAAACAAGAATTAACGATAATCGTCGTTTAATACTGACATGAAATGTAACCTCCCCCTCTCTTTCAGGAGAGCAAATGGCGCGGTAAGCTTTACACTTCCCTAAAGGGTAAAACACGTGACAAAAAATACAAAAGGAGAAAAAAATAGCTGATTTTTAACCCCGCATACCATTACACAATATGCAAAAAGTCTAAGCCAAATACAGTGTCTTGAATATGAAAACCTTGCTCCAATCCTGTTTCAATCAAGGCACGGTAGGAGAATATTTATTCGGTTACTTGTCTCGTGTAGTGTGACTAAGGTGTGGTTTACTTTCAACCTGGTAAACCTGCTGTAATATCACCTGTTGTTAGTGTGCAATCTGGTTTTAAAGTCAACTGCACAAGTGATAATAGAATGTGAAAGAATACGCACAATATTGGACCCGTTTGCAGGGGGGATCCGATTACAATTATGATAGCTTCTCGACTGCAGTAGTAATTCAGATCAAGAAAAATATTTAACAGGTTTCTTGGGTTGGCCAATTTGTATACATCAAACGTACCTGTGGTGAAAAGTAGGCATTTATAGTAATTCCTGAAGGCTATCTACATTACATATTGAAAAAGGATTAATAAATCCTTTTAACTAGTAACTTATGGCAGTTATTTTCAAAGATAAAGAAACTATATTATAGCAAATGATATGTGAGACATGGCAAAGCTTTTTAAGTAATCTTAGTAGTGAGCAAGTCGATTTATATATCTTTGGAAAATAAAGGAAATCTCAGTCTTCTGTTTTTCATTTTCTTACAAATTATTTAAAATGCTTCGTGTCCGTTATTGTTTCGTTATCTCTGTCACGTATACAATTTCTTTTGAACATGTTGTTTTAACTTTAAAATTATAAAGATATTGTAAACCTGTTGTTAAACTCAAACGGAAGAATGTAGATCCTAACTTCTTGCATCCTTTTAACAACATTCAAACCCCACATTAAGATGACACATTCCTGCTTTTTTCACATCATTCCATCATCATAACTATCAGTCCATTGAGACCTGTAAGGTTACCCGCATAGTCTCCCTTGGGCATGAGTCACGGCAGTTTGAGACACTTGTATCAATATATAGGTGGCAAACTGAATGTGAAACTTTCCACAGGCTACTTCTTACACGATTTCGTACCTCAGATCATATATAAGCACAACGCCTAGCAGATAAGGGTAGTTTTTGTGGTCAGATCGCAGAATTCCGTGATCAGAGCAGCTGAGCCTTCTGTCACAGACCGGTTGCTCTGTGTCACCGAGTGTCACACACCTGTCAACAGCGTTTGTGTACTGATCTCCATACATTGTATACGGCTGTCCACTCGTCTACATCGCTGACCAGGTAAGCATTGCTGTATTATCTCATTCTTCATGGGTCAACTTGAGAAAATATTATTTTGATAATTGTTGAAAGTTTTGCTTTTGTGCAATCTGTGTAACATTCGTGGGAATTCTGTTTGGGTCATAGAGTTAGATCCAACTGTTTAAAACTCTTTTCAGATAAGCAAATCCAAGTCTCTTTTATTCAAAAACAGATCAATCATTTTTGATTTTTAATGCACTGTCATGTCAAGGCGGTCCTGCAGAACAACAAATTTTAAAAGTTGATGACACACATGGAAATTCTGAATTGGGTCAAATGGAATATTAATAATGCCAACAATTCATATGGCTGTGTGATAATTCTGTCACTGCAGCACCGTTGTGTGTCAGCATTGACAGTGAAGGTAACTGTTAATAGAGTTGCCACAGGCTTAATAACTACATTAAAATCATATGGACTCCTTGTTTGTATTAAAACACTAGGCTATATACATGTATAGGCCTACTATTCAATAGCAGGCCTACCTCGAGCAAAATCAAACTTCATTTGAGCCTGTATTTGCTATTCCTTAGCCTGGATAATCGAGAGCCGGTTTATATTTCAAGGATCACACACTTGTTATGATATCCATATACTAGTACATCGTATATGGTTTTTACTGCATAGACTTCTCTCTAAGTGAAATGTCCTCTGTCATACCATGTGCACTTTTGGTAATAAATAGTATATAAGGTCTGAGGCATATATGTTTTGGAGCCTGGTACCTGTATGAAAAAACTGTCTGAATGCTCCCAAATGCAATTTTGATTTAGCCTACAGGTGCTCCGGGGGTGGGATAGTCTGACGAATACATGGGGGCAAAGAGGGGCATCCTATAGGAGAATAAGCCCTTGGGAAAGCCCTGAGTTATTTTGTAGTTTGACAGGGTAGAATATAGATACTTCATTTTTATTACTAGAATAGGCGATTGACTCATAATTGTGACATATAGTTAATTATGAGAGGATATTCGGCAAGCATGAGGACAGTGTGAATTATAAATTAATGCAACTGATATGAAATTTAGAGCTCTGAATTTGTAGTTGGAAATTTATTGCTCTGGCAACGCAGAATTCCTAGGTGAATGAATGACAAGCCGTTCACAGGGTTCGTTTATTGTGTGTTACAGAATCTTCCATTATCTTTTATCATTTAGCATTCTAGCTCCCAAGCAATATAATGTAATTAGTATACTTACAACAATTAAGACCCAAATTACAAACATGGATTAAAATGGAGGTATTAATTTATCATTAATGGAAATTCTGCTGGTGTCCGTCTGCAAAACAGACAGTCACTATAAATGCTGGCGGCGGGGACAGGGTCGCGTCTTCTCTCTTTCAACGCGTCATCAATTTGGTTTATATCTCTGCATAATAGGTTTCCACAGCGCGACAGAGGTACCTGTAGCATACCAAATATTGTTATTCTGCTGTCAAATCATTTCAATAGCGGAAGTGTAAGAAACATACAGAGTGTGAAGAATATATGGGCAGCGTTGAATTAAATGTGTCTATATATGCCGTACGTACGTAATTGGTTCTCTGTATAATATGATCACTTAAGTGAGTTTTTCATTGTGTATGAAAGAAGTTTCTTCACGCTTTTAATTTTTGCTGCAGAGGCGGCGAAGTAATTGTGCATAATGGTCTTTAATTAACGATGAATCCGTAAAACTGGCGTTGGTTAAACTGTCACGTCGCGAGGGTGATTCACCCGCTTCAGCGTCTGAACAAGCCTAGCCTGCAGACATGATAAATAGGAGGAGAAAAATATTATATTGTTCACTTATAAAAAGGTTATCTGTGTTTGTTTGTATGTGAACGTAGAGGTTATGCACAAGATGAATGGAAGGTACAATGTATAAGTGATTTTAAACGGGTAAGGAAATGCGCCGTTCTTATATACTGATACAACACTCAAGAAGTTATAACTTCTTGCAACACTAGATACAAACTCCCCATGGTCAATTGTAAGGTCTCATAATGAAAATCACACACAGACACACACACACGCACACCACCACCACCACCACCACCACCAACAACAACATCAACAATTACAACAGCATGTATAGTCCCCCTCAGAGTGTACTATACCACAGTCACTTAACTGCCACATTACACTATGGCACTTTTCAATTAAACAAATGTAGGCCTACAGCTGCAACTGGCCTCGAGAGATTTTTTGGAACCACGGTGTTCAAGAAGCAACACCCGTTTCAGATATAAATCGACATGTGACGTGTGAGGTCGTTGGAATCGGATAGTAGAGGAGGCGAAGGGTTCTATAGGGCGACCCAGTATGGGTGGTTAAATATTTTTTCGCGTGCACTAGAGTTGAAAATATACTTTTGAACACAAAACATTTAATAACCTCCTCCCTAGCAAGCAAGACGTATTTTACTTTTTTTTTCTTTTATGCATCTTCGATAGCACGAGATGGTGGTCTTATTACTGTCAAGTTTAATACCAACAATGCTGATGACAGCTTTGTCGGGTGTTCAGGAAACAGGTGTTTTTTAGCTTGTGAATGTAGCAAAACAGTACATACCCTTTGCAGGTATATATGCAGCGAACTTTAAAATAGAACAGTACCTTTAAAAAGACAAAAATAGACCAACGGGACATGCCAGTTAAGTTATCCAGCTGAGGATGTGGGTTTATGGTGGGGGAGGGGGTGGGGCACTCAACTGTGTGGGTGTAATTCATTGGTAAAAAAATCGCGAACGTTAATCATTTTCTTACACGTCGACTGGTTTCTCAGGTAAAATGATAATCCGGTTCCTCCATACACCTATTGACTCAAAGTAGAATCAGTTCGAAAAAAATGTCGACTATTTGACAGGACAAATGAAGAGATGTAGTACTTTTTTTTCCGGTGGGTGTAATGCTCGCTTACAATAGATAACTACTAGGTATAACCACAGAAGTACATGTATGGTATAACCTGTAGCCTACTAGGGTCGACGTGTTGCACAATCTCACTACACCGTTCACTGCCCTAACACTATGCAGTAAGCAAGACTAGTACTGAATATTAACAGCAGCACAAGCCCAATCTTTATATAATTTACGAAAACATTTGTAAAGATAGGATGCAGACCAAATAAATGCACGGAGCGACCAAGGAAATGCCTTACTGTGCCCACGAGCAATTCACAAAAGAGGGAACCTATTATGATCATCATTGAGGCATGATTAACACATATTATCTTAGAGGAAACAGGTTGTGGAAGCTACAGCATTGACATGCCTTTGGGTCACAATACAGCATGCAATCGAACAGAGCGCCTATCAACTACGCGAGGTTCATCTGGTCCCCGCGTTAAGTGCCCTAG